AGGCAAGGTCGTGAATGGATCATTCACGGCCGCTGTTACTGTTGCTTCCTGGTAGCTACCAATAGAGGGAGATACACTCACGACACTGACGCTTCTACGGAAGTTCGGATCCTCCTGCACTGGTCTTTCGAGGTCAACTGCCAAGGCAAGACCCTGCAGAGCGATGACACCCTTTCTCATGCTATCCAAGATGTGGAACAATCTATGACCCTCCTATTGGGTCATGCCAACCTGCTCTATAATAGCAGGAATAACCGAACCTATAATACTAGAAAGACGAGGGCCTCGAATAGTGTAAAGGAGTCGAAAGCCTTCTCCCCTTTAACGCACACTATAGTGAATCACAACTGACCATCGAGCTCCTCACTTCCCATTGGTCCTCGAATATGCCTCATACACCAAGTCATCGATAGTAACTCATGAGGAAGTCGGAGTAAAGCAGTGAGTGGGGACGGTAGACCTCCGAGCCGGGCCTTGATTCGGATCGTTCAAGCACGACAGACTATAGCTCTCCAGCGGCCCACTTTTATCGGCCGCAGCCAGTACTCGGGAGGTCCACGTCGAGCTGTTGCCCTGTGATGAGCTGCCGTGTCAGACGTACTGAAAATACAGGAAACCAGCCTTGTCCTGAACCGTCCAGAATCCTCTTTCTCTGTAGAAGTTGATCCATGATCCTCGACCAGAAAAACACTAAGGAGCACATATCGGCGGAAGACACTTCTCAAAAGAGAGTACCTCTGCAGAACCTGTTGTGTTGGCGACTCTGAAGGCTTCCAATTGAGAACGTCCGAGAACATGCCTCTTCTCACGCCCTGGCCCAAATGTAAAACCTGAGCCTAAAATCTGCGTCTCACTAGTGGCAAAGCACGACATAGCAAACGACTACGTTGATAAACTTACCCTGAGTATAGGAGTCTCAACGACTAAACTCTCTACCCTCCTCACGACTTGATACTACCGCTGCAGTAGTGAGCTTAATCCCTAATGTACTACTCCTCCCGAGCTCTTCATAGTACATGCAACCGGTGAAGGAAACCATACCATAGACAAAGTGTGATACAAAGTGCAGTAGAGCCATATAAAAGTACGAGCTAAGATGACTCCACTAAACACATTGTATAATACGGCGAGGAAACAGGATCTTCACTACTGATGAGAGGCTATTCCATGATAAAGGGTTTGGTCTCTGAGGGACCAGATACTTCACCACGCAATGATATCAGCCGTTTAACCCATCATCCCTCGAACCGGCACTCAACACAAGGTGTAGGAGCATTGCACTGTGTGCAGGAACTTATAGTTCGACCATCTGGGGTTAAGTCTAGGAGTAAACCTTCTATACAGTGACGCCAGGGAAACACTCGGCAAAGCTTTGCTTAGGATGCTTACTAAACAACAACAAAAGCTCAGCTCGATAACTAAGCATCAGAGTAATCACCTCTCAGCGTGAGCGGGAAGGAGCTTCTTTTGCGTGCACATAAACGTCTGTCTGCAGATACTGCACATAAGCGTTTGCGACTAAAAGAATAACTCACAAAATTGTAGAAACCCGGCCCGAATAGTACAGCAGCAATATTCTTCAACTGAGACTCTCCTCCTTTAGCACCATGCTTGGCCTGCCTCTTCGCTGCGTCAAGACGCTTACGTTGAGCTTCAGAGGCGTTGGTTCTTCCCATCTTTCGAGACACTAAACTATGTACTGAAACACCACTACTTCTCACTCAATAGCCTTCCTTATCTA